TTTGTAACTTTATTTGTTTAAAATTTATGCATTTTTTTCTTTGTAGACTATTAATGGATTTTTTTTTTTTTTTGGTGTTAAAAAGAAAACTTCACTCAAGAGATTGGAATCAATTAAAACAATAAAAATATTGATTTATACACTAAACTGAACAAGAACTGTATGAATTTTATAAAAATCAAGTTATATGAAAATATTATTTTTTTTTTGTTTTTGCAAGAAGATATTATATTTCTTATTTTATTCATATTATACTACTATCAACTTTTTAGTCTTTTTAAATATAAAATTTCCTTTACATTTCTCTTAAATTGTATATGCATTCAATTGTACTAAAATTTCATTCAAAATCACCTTCTTTTTTTTTTTGTAACTTTGATTTAAGTACTTATATTAACATATCAAAATGGTTTGCAATACAAGTTAAGGAATAGAATAGCAACGGAAAAAAAGGACAAGAAATTGGAAATGATAGAAGGGATAAAAAAAACCATAAAATAAATTTTTGCAAGTTAAGCAATTGTAGAAGAAAGAGTTCGTTAAGACTTAGGTTAAAAAAATAGAATTGTTAAGTACTTTTCTTTGTCTAAAATATCTATATTGTTGTATGAAATAAAGATTACTATTCCTATTTATGTATATTGTTGTATATTATTTATAATACTTTATGTAGATCTTACATATTAAGACAACTATGATTTGATTTTTTTATTAAAATAATAGTTAATACTTTTTAACCTCAATTTTTAAAGATTATGAATTCAATTAAATAAGAATTAAAAATAATTAAGAAAGATGAAAAAAAAATGTGAGGTAAAAATTATTTGATTATTAAATTAACAATTAATAAAATTTATATTAAAAAATGAAAATAAAAATACTACCTTATGTATAAAGAAAATCTATATATCCAACAATGAATAATTTATATATACTATATAAAATACTACCTTCAAGAATTAAATAGGCGCTAAAATTTGTCATTTTTGTTTTAATTATAGAAGAAGCATTTTTTTTCTTTTTAATGAGAAGAAGAAACTTTGTTAAAAAATAAGAAAATATTATTTTTACATTAAAATGTAGTAAATGTATTTATTATTTTAACTTTTCATTTTCTTTCTTTTCTTATCTTAGCTTTATCTTTATCTTTTCAATTATTTTATCATTATTTTATAAAGAATAAAAAATTATAATGTATATTAATTATTAAACACATGTTAAAAGCTATATATATATTTATATGAAGGTAACACTTTATCT